GCAGGCTTGGGGAGGAGTGGCTGGAGAGCAGCCTGGCAGAAAGGGACCTGGGAGTGCTGGTTGACAGCCGGCTGAATATGAGTTGGCAGTGTGCCCAGGTGGCCAAGGCAGCCAACAGCATCCTGGGCTGTATCAGAAATCATGTGAACAGCAGGAGTAGGCGGGTAATTGTGCCACTGGACTTGGCCCTGGTGAGGTCGCACCTGTGTTCAGTTTTGGGCCCCTCACTACAAGAATGACATTGAGGTGCTGGGAGCATTTCTAGAGAAGGGCAACAAAGCTGGTGAAGGGTCTGGAGCACAAGTCTTATGAGGAATGGCTGAGGGAACTGGGGTTGTTTAGTTTGGAGAAGAGGAGGCTGAGGGGAGACCTTTTCGTTCTCTACAACTACCTGAAAGGGGGTTGTGGTGAGGTGGGTGTTGGTCTCTTCTCCCAAGTAACTAGCGATAGAAAAAGAGGAGAAGTCATCAAGTTACACCAGGGGAGGTTTAGACTAGATACTAGAAATAATTTCTTTACGGCGAGAGTGGTCAAACATTGGAGGAGGCTGCCCAGGGAGGTGGTAGAGTCACCATCACTGGAGGTGTTCAAAAAACTTGTAGGCATGGCACTTCAGAACATAGTTTAGTGGGCATGGTGGTGTGGGGTTGATGGTTGGACTTGATGATCTTAGAGGTCTGTTCCAACCTTAATGATTGTGTGATTATTTAATCAGTGCCATTATTGATGGATCTGCAACTTCCCATTTTAAAGTGCATAAACAGGTGTAATAGTTATATGATTTTTTGATAACAGCAATTCTTCACCAAGAAAGAACCCCAGTTTTACAGAGAAGTACATGCAAACAGGCCAAAAGAAATGAGGAGGAAGAATGTGCCATCCCTTCAAAAAACACACACCAGTGTGCAGATAAGCTGTGATTTTTTGCAGTACCCTTTACTAGCTCCTTTAAATCATCCTGAGAACTCACATCCCAGATGTTTTTCTCCAAAATATGTGAAAACATGGGGCTTTTTGATGCTACAGAAGTTGCTCTGCTCACAATGCAGTTCACTCTGTTTTCCTTTTAAACTGCATTCCTTCCCACATTTTTCAAGTGGTAGTACCGAATATCAGACTCTTGGAATCCTAATTCTTATCTTTCCATTTTAAAATTATTTACTATAGTTCCCTGTTTATATGAAGACAAAATTCATGAGCACAAAAACCTGAATTTTTACAGGTTCACAGAATTATTTCTAGCAGATACAACACAGAAAATATCTTTGCACCTGCAAAACTTTATTTTTAAATTTGATATAGGTTACTCTCTTAAAATAAGAATCACCAAACATTTTGGGTCTAATTCAATCAAACCATTGAGAAAGATTCCAACTGCTCTTCTAACCAGTGTGCTAAATCAGGCTAATTGAAACCAAGAGTGTATACCCCATATTCAAGACTGTTTAATTAAGAACTCAATTTAGAATTTACAGAAAATAATGTGATGAACAGAAGTTAGAAATTGTTTAGACTGTCAAAATCCATTAGTGCTTACAGTAGTCTGTTAAGTTAGTAAATTAGTTTAGACGTTATATAAATTTCTTTCTCATTTTTATGTTGACAAATAAATCTATCTTTATCTGTTTGTTTTACCAGCCATTGGATGATTTGCAGTGGATACTTGCTCCCATACTGATAAGTTGTTCTACTTGACTCAGAAAGCCTCTCCCTGAAGCAATCATTAGTGCAGTTGCACTGGTTTCGCTGTGCCTGTAATCAACTGAAAAGAAAAAAAAAAAAATCAGCAAAACTAATACAAAGCTTTTTATTTTTCCACCTAAATGTATTATGAATATGACTTTCAAAACCCAGCCCAAATAGAATTTGTTTCCTCACTTCATCCCATCAGTCAGTTCATGTGAATTTAACACTATTTTAGAAACATATTATAACATCTATCAATACTTCAAAACAAGTACAAAAACATTTAACAACTCATTAATTCTGCTAACCCTATTAATTTTTTCAATAGGCATCAGAATTCAAAGGTAACAACATTTGAAATTGGAGATAAAGTAGCCACAGAAATTCAAGTCATTTTGTGGTTTTTCTTTCTTATGTAATAAGATGAGAAACTTACCACTGACATTTTCAGTTAAAATGAGATGGAACACCTGAGCAAAGGAATCAATATCTTTATGCAACCAGATGTCAGAAAGACAAGAATCCATTTCTTTTATTATCCATGGTTCAAGGCAATTCGCATCTTTTTCAGTCTGAAGAGAAAAAACAGTATTGAAAGATCAATCTCTTCAAAAAGTTGTCTTCGTTCCCATATATTACACACAAAGAACTTGAAGTTAGTTTTCCAAGTAACAAGAAATACAGCATTCAGCTATCAGATAAAGTATTTACTGTATCATATGCAAGTACTTTAAACAATGGCAGTCTAGCCATTTGTTCTAAATAAGTTATGTACAAACATCAGCACTGAAAAATACACTTTAGCTAGAGTAGCTCATGCTAATAAAAAAAATATTTTAAAATATGTTAATATCCTTCTAGAAACTTTAGAAAACAGTTTTTAAATGGGTAGTAATAATGTAGCACAGATTTAGAAGTTCCTTCCAACAAAAGGAAAAACTTACCAGTTGATTAAATACTGTGTCACTACCATCATCCAACAGATTACACACTTCAGTTGCACTTGGGAGAGATCTTTGTTGCCGAGATTCGAGTTTGCTATTATTTTCTTGAGCAGAACACCACTCAGTAAGTGTGCTTTGCTGTTTTTCTTCTAGAATCCATAAAGTATTTGCAATAGAAGTTTTACAGTCATCTTAATTATCTACTGATTTCACTTAGAAAAAAGAGTTATATCAAATCACAATGTTTTACCTATTTAATCGCTTTTATTTAATCTAGAATGCTGTTACCAGTCCAATATAAATTCCATGATTAAGGGCACCCAAAGTGCACCATTGCAAACATCTGCTATAAGAACAATGGTAAAAAATACCATTTGGGTGCTTAAGCCCCTTAAGTCTCCAGTATTCCAACTTACTGCATTCAAGTGAACTTCCTAAGCAAATATCTTCTACAGAATTCACAGTCCAGATCTTTCTCCAGAAGTGAAATACTGAAGAAAAGTGATATACCTCATGCAGCTAAAAACTAATTTTTGTGTACAAGTAGAAGAAACAGTAGAAGAAACAAGTGCCTTAACAGAACTTTTCTATCCAAAGGGATCAGAGCTGAGCACGACGACAAATGTACAGTTAGGATTGTATGTTACAGCTTTGGGGTTTGCCCCCCCTTTTTGTCTTTTTTTTCTTTTTTCTTTTTCCTTAAAAATACACACTAGAGTCATTACTTCCAGTTGTCAGGAAAACATCTCAAATCATGTATCCACTTAATCAATTGAAAAACAACTATATTAAGTTAAGTGTTTTAATGGTTCTGGGCTATACATATTAGATACATCCATACCCAAAGAATAGTATCTGAAGAATGCAGTGAAAAATGTTACTACTAGGAACCATTTCTGTGCAAGATTTACAAATATCCTGCCATCTTTAATGGCTGCCCTTTAATTTGCACCCAAAAGTCAACACATAGTATCTTCTGCTTTTATAGTTTTCATGTGGGCAAAGCCCCCAGTTATATGCAATTCTACTCCATAATAATTAGGAAAAATAAAACATTTATTAACTGAAGGCAAAAAGAATGCAACCATGGAAAGAAAGTGAAAATATCTTTTTTTTTTTTTAAGTTACATAATCTACTACAATAATATAAACACTGACAGCTTAAAGATACTTGCTGTCATGTAGTCGTGTCTCATTTCATATTCTGACTTCGGAATTTTAACAGAATCATCCTGTTTAGTTGTTCAATCAATCAATGAGACTCATTGCAAACCCTGACAATTAAGAAGTCCACCAACCTCGCTGTTTCTCTTTTTTGTACTTTACCATCTCTTTGTTTGTATACTCAGTGCTTCGTAAAATATCCTCCAAAAACATCTCTTTAACTTCAAAAGGTCTTCCTTGTACTGAAAGTATAAATAATTCATAAAATATTAGATATTCCCTAGCTCGATTCAAAATCTTACTTTTAAAAAAAGCATTTTTGTAGACACAAAAAGTGAATTAAAAATTAATGCTTGATTTAAGTAATTATTACTTTCCTTGAAAAAACTTGTTAAGAGTGTCTTCACTGGAGTTTGTTTTCTTAAAATTACTGGGACGCAAAACAAAACATTTCAAATGGGAAATGCCAGCTGGGTACCTTGTTTGTCATTAACCTCTTCAATTCTATTGAAGTGTTATAGCAAGAGATGCACAAAACTGACAGTTATTCATTGCAATTTTATCAAAGTGAGAAAAAGGAAAATAGCCATTTTTGTTTAGTTACAGAAAAGAATTCACTGTGCAAGACTGCCACCTGGATTACAAAATATAACAGCAATAAATACAGCTTTAGTGCAAATCCCACAAGGAGATTGCCATCTTTGTGTTAAGCTACTTTTTTGTTCTCTCAATTTCCTCAATCACTTCAGTCAAAATTGGCTTTCTTTACTGAATGCTTCCTGATAAATGAGACATTCCAAATGGTCTTTATCTCCTAAGAATTCACTTTGATGTCATTTTCAATATCGCAGTTTTCTAGACTTTAATTATGGACATTAAAGGATTCTTTATCACATGAAAACGAGAAATACCTAGACTTCAGTCTCTGGTTCCTTAACAGACATTTGCCTGAGTTGAGTTTAAATCATCTAGGACCTCTCTCCAAAAAGAACAAGCTACAATTCACATACTTTTAGAAGCTGTCATGGAGGAAGTCTTCCAACACGGATCACAAACTGTGTACTACAGGAACCCACAGCTACAAAATGTTGGTTTCTGTGGTCAGGACTTTGCCAGCTATATTGTTGAAGGAGGATTAAATCTTTTTCATGACATTAACAGACAAAGCAGCTAATCCCACTTCTTTTAATTCTTTAATTAGCAAAACCGGAAAAAAGTAAGTGCCTTTTCAATTGTGATTAGCCTGTGGAGACTAGTATGTGGTAACAGTATAACCGCTGAGGTAAACTGGAGAAAGAGATTTTCATCAGAATCTTCTGAATAAACATACTGATCTAAATGAACAGGAAGCTACAAGAAGAGTAAACTGGAAAGCAACACAACAGTTATAACTGAGGTTTCCTCTCAAAAAAAAATTTGGAAAACACTGAAATCCTGTGTAATTTCCAGATTCCTTCCTCCAACAAGTTGCAAGCCTTATTTTAATAGGCAGATATTCAGAACTGGGAACTTAGAAATAAATACTTTACCTGTAAAAAAACAGGTTTTTTTTTCAGGAACATTCACTAAAATAAACCAATGATTTGTAGAGAAGATTCGAAAGAAAGTGATCCTACCCATGTCCTAGGACCTGTCAAGCTTCTTAAAAAAAGGCCGACATGCAGTCTACTTGATTGTTTTGAAAAGAAAGCATTTCTCTTAAAAGCTGCTTCTCAAAACACATATTTAGACACCATTGTTGAAAAAGGAAGAGGACTGCAAGGTGCCAGAGGAGGTCACCCATGCAGAAAACTTCCAAG